TGATGAATTTGTGCTACCGCAAACTGCTATTAATACTCATATTTCTTGTAGTGTAGGTATTCTCAGAATCAATAGATTTCTTGTGTTATACGTATCCGAGGCTACACCAGTTGGTATCAGAGACTTTCGGTTTTGATTTCTCAATCAAGATCATCGTTCCTTGTTACTTCCGCACTCTTTATCATCTTCGTCCAACACCGTCACCATGCCACCTCGAAAACAAACTCCAGAAGAACAGCAAGAAGAATTTCGAAACATTAGAAACCTTCACTGCAAATCTTCAAGAAGTACTTACAAACGCCGTCCAGACAGCTCTGGTAACGGTTCTGCAACAACACCAACAACTCGCTCCACCTCCACAACCACAAGACCAACGACCACAAGCTCCGGCAGCTCAACATCAACAAGACGAGGATTCCTCTGATGATGACCTCGCCGAAAACCTATTTGCTAATCCAGATATCCGTAACCAACCTCACGTCGCCGCTCCTGCTGTTCATCAACTCATTAGACGAGACAATCGGCCGGAAGAAAGACGATGGGATTCAGGTTTTAAGATTGAGATTCCTGAATTTTCGGGAAACCTCAGCGCTGAAGAATTTTTGGATTGGTTGAGCTCCATCGAAGAAATTTTAGAGTTTAAACGTATTCCGGAAGATCAATGTGTTCTGTTAATAGCTTCTCGGTTTAAAAACAGAGCTATGGCGTGGTGGCAACAGACTAAAGAATCACGTCGCAGATCTGGATAGCTGCGTATCATTACTTGGGAACGTCTAAAGAAGCATATGCGTAGAGCGTTCCTACCGTATAACTACGAGCGGACACTTTACACTAAGATGCAATCTCTACGTCAAGGATCTCGTACAGTCGAGGAATACTCGACAGATTTTTTTTAATATGGTCGCCAGAACTTCACTTATCGAAACAGAGGAACAACTTGTATCTCGTTTTATCGGTGGTTTGCGGTATCAAATTCATATAGAAATGCAGCAGTTCAACCCTCGTACCGTATCTGAAGCGTACCAACGTGCTTTAGCCATGGAAATCCAGTACCGCTCATCTTGGAATGCAGGCAACACACGCAGCAAAGCGACTTCTCAAGCCACCGAACCACACTCAACAAGCGGTGCAGAGACGTCTCAAGCTCGCACAACTCGACCTGCAACTACTCCAGCAACGGATTCTATTGCTAATTCTCGACCAGCTCGCACAGGTGCTCTTCGTTGCTTCACATGTGGAGAACACGGGCACATTCAGACGGCATGCCCAAATCGAAATCGTCGTGCTCTCTTAAATCAAGATATCAATCTTGATGAAGAACCTACATATGACGAATACGAAGCAGACCATGAAGCTGACTCAGAGGTTATTGCAGGAGATACATGAGCTAACACTCTCGTTCTCAGGCGAAATTGTCTTCTCTCGCGTTCATCTCAGGAATCATGGCTTCAGACAACATTATTTCGCTCTACTTGTACCATTAATGGGAAAACAACATTCAAAACTCGTGAGGGTTTATTCGAATGGTTGGTGATGCCATTCGGTCTTTCAAATGCTCCTAGTACCTTTATGAGAGTCATGAACCAGGCCCTCCGTCCTTTTATTGGCAAGTGTGTCGTCGTCTACTTTGACTATATTTTGATCTTTAGCTCGGACCTACAAGCTCACCTTCGCCATCTGCATGATGTTCTCACGGTCCTTCGCCAACAGAAATTCTTTGCAGCCAGAAAAAAATGTATCTTTGGGACATCTCAAGTCTTGTTCTTAGGATATATAATTTCTGTGCAAGGATTACAAGTGGAGCCGAGTAAAATTGAAGCCATTCAAAGTGGGCCTATACCGCGGACAATAACGGAGATACGTAGCTTCCACGGCTTAGCTTCATTCTATCGCCGCTTTGTGCGCCATTTCAGTGCTCTCACCGCTCCATTAACTGACTGCATGAAAGGCACAGTCTTCTCTTGGACATCCGAAGCAGAGACAGCTTTCAACGCCATTAAAGCTCATTTAATTTCAGCTCCTATTTTGGCTTTACCCGACTTCTCAATAGTCTTCGAACTTCATTGTGATGCTTGCAAAACCGGCATTGGAGCGGTCCTCAGTCAACAGGGACGACCGATAGCTTTTTATAGTGAAAAGATCGCTGGTTCCCGTGCTCGCTACTCAACTTACGATGTCGAGTTTTATGCAATTGTTCAAGCCATTCGTCATTGGCGCCACTATCTTTTTCACCAAGAGTTCATTCTGTTTACAGATCATGACGCATTAAAACATTTGAATAGCCAGACCAAGATATCATCGCGTCATGCTTCTTGGATTGCGTATTTACAGCAGTTCACATTTGTGATTCGTCATCAGTCTGGGAAAACAAATAAAGTTGCAGACGCATTGAGTAGGCGACATACTCTTCTTGCGACTTTTCATGCTTCTGTTCCGGGTTTCGCTGCGTTTGGTGATTCATATGCTACTGATCCATTCTTTGGTCGCATTTGGACAGACATTGAGACCCGTACTCGCTCTGATTTTGTTCTTCAAGATGGGTACCTGTTTCGGGAAAATAAGCTCTGCATCCCTGAGGGAAGTTGGCGTTTGCAGATCATCAAGGAGCTTCACAACGAAGGGCATGTTGGTCGAGACCGTACTCTTCAACTAGTACTCGAGTCGTATTATTGGCCCTCGTTGAGACGTGATGTGACACGCTTTGTTGAACGTTGTGTGTCTTGTCAAACCTCAAAAGGCCATGCTTCTGATGGCGGTCTTTACATGCCATTACCAGTACCAACACAGCCATGGACTGATATTAGTATGGATTTCGTTCTTGGCCTTCCTCGGACATAGCGCGAGCATGATTCGATTTTTGTCGTCGTCGATCGGTTCTCCAAGATGGTTCACTTTATCCCTTGTAAGAAAACTACAGATGCGGTTCAAGTGGCTCAACTTTTCTTTCGGGAAATCTATCGTCTTCATGGATTGCCATTATCTATCGTCTCCGATCGAGATTCACGTTTCTCAAGCCACTTCTGGCGTACGTTATGTAAACTGTTACGCACAAGCTTGGATATGAGCTCGGCATATCATCCTCAATCTGATGGTCAAACCGAGGTAACAAATCGATCATTAGGCAATATGTTGCGATGTTTGGTTGGCGAGCACATACGATCATGGGATACCATATTATGTCAAGCCGAGTTCGCCCATAATCATGCGGTGAATCGCAGTACGTCTTTCAGTCCATTCCGTGTGGTCTACGGCATCATTCCTTGTAATCCTCTCGACTTGGGTGTTCTTCCGGATGCAACTCGTGACCACGGAGACGCTGTAGATTTTGTGGCGAATGTGTCTCATGTGCATCGACTTGTCCACGACAATTTGCAGGCCTCGTCTGCAAAATATAAAGAGGCAGCAGATCGCCATCGTCGCGACGTCCAATTCAGCGTAGGTGATAAGGTTTGGGCTGTCCTAACGAAGGAGCGCTTTCCTCCACGAGAGTACAACAAACTCAAGGCAAGGAAGATTGGCCCTTTGGATATCATTGAGAAAATAAATGCAAATGCTTACATGGTGTCTTTACCGGCACATATTCGATGTTCTGACGTTTTCAACGTTAAGCATTTGGTGCCTTTTCTGCCACAAGATGATACTGAAGATTCGAGGGCGAATCTTTTCTTACCCCGGGGGACCTGATGCAGCATACATCCTACTACGTTTTGGCTTTGGCTTTTAGTCTTATTTCCTTCTTTGCGATTACTTAAGTTTTATGGCTTTATTCCTTTTATTTGTCAAAGATAAGGAAAACTTCTATTCCTTAATCTTTTAGGTTTTGTTTAACTATCTATATATATCGATGCCTTAGGTATTGTGAAAGGCACGACTTATCTTATCAATAATATTCAGAGCTTTTATAAACTCTAAACCTTGTTCTCGGATAGAGCTTCGACTCTCAACGATCTCAAGAAGACAATTAATCTAGGTATTCTCAGAATCAATAGATTTCTTGTGTTATACGTAGCCGAGGCTACACCACATAGCATGGTAACTTAAACTCAAATTAACAAGGGAAACTATGTTATGTTTATAGATTGAAAAATGGAGAGCTTACGAGATTGCATCGTGAACCATCTTAAGGTGATTAGCGTAGTAGTCAATCCTCAAGTCATCGTTAAGAAATATTTCTCCAGTGTTAGCTTCATCCACTCCTACATGATTATAACAAAGAGATGAGAACAAACAAATATCAGTCTAAACTATGTTTTGGTTCTAAATGTGTCTTTTAAAAGATAGAGTTTCGTCATGATATGACTTACCATTTTCTGTTATGTACAAGACCGGATCATTGTATTTGAATTTTGCATGTAGTAGAAGATCACGAATACCCTTGGGGTATATCAAAAGCCAACTTGACCCAGCCTGAATTGAGTCATAGATTATATAAATTACATGTCTGATGAGCATCAAAATCTTATAGAGTGCCCACCTAGTAGCCTACACGTATCAATCTTTGTCCATATTACTTTGCTATAACATAAAGACTATGATAGATAATACCGCAAGAACCAATGTAGAATGAAAGATGAAATCACTATAGCGACAGAAGTTAATTAGCTGAGAACATAGAGGAGAACTCTTCTAATACATTAAATCACCTGATATGCAAAGGCAGCCGTTCCAAAAATAATATAGCTGCATGATACATATGTATCAAAACAAAACTAGCAAATTTTCTAATTTCTCAGGAAATATGTGGGTTTTCTACACATCATCAATGGGGAAAAAGGCGACAAAAGTGATGGAGGAGTTCTTGGAGATATGTCAAGTTATGAGTGCGACTCAACTACTCATTCGCATACTGATGAGTATAATGTCTAAAACAAATCCATTTAATTGTCCATGGTCTTATATTATTAGTGAAAGGACAAATATAAATAAAACAAATCCATTATCTATATATAGTCTTATTAGTATAAGGACATATTCAAATAAAAGTAAAACCAACCCATTCTCTATGGTCTTATTAGTGAAAGGACAAGTATAAATAAAACAAACTTAATATGAAACAACTGTAAAAACGATGATGCTGCAGAAGTTGAGTCTCTTGGCATGGCTTGTGTAACATCAGCACAATGGGTGGGTTTAAACGAAACCTGTAGTGAAGAACGATCGTAACCAACCAAGAAGTTGCTCTGTGCTCTGTTGCCAAAGACAGCTTTTTCAGCAAATGGTGTTGCCGGAGCAGACATAATCATCAGACAAATGACTTGTCCATTAAATGCCATATACGTATTGTTTTTATCCAAAACAAGATCTGCACCCCCACTGAAATGCACTGTGATCACTGGAAAGAGATCCATGGAGTTGGTTTTGTAGCAAAGCGTTTCCTCGCTGTCTACTTTTTCCGCAGTCACAACCTTCTCCACTAACTCCCTCACTAGGCTGAGGTAGCTAGCGGGCAAGTAGAATGCAGTGCTTCCAGAGTCTATTACTATGTTACCGTCTACGGCGTGAAACGGGGTCCCCAATGTTTCAACGCGAGCCTTGCCAACGCTGACGGCGTCTAGGTTTAGGTAATAAAAGGTTGGTTTATCCTCCTTCAGAAACATAGGTGTTGATACAGTCCCATCTCCCGACACAATAGCATTACTTCCAAAGCTGATCTTACTACTAGTTCCCTCCTCAGGCGAAAAGCAGTAAGAAAAGGCACCGAGGCCTATCTGAGAGATGAGAGATAAAGGTTGCCTACCTAGACCAACAATGCCCGAAGCGGTTGATCTGATCGCCTCTGAGCTGTTGTGCGAACATCCAATGACGATTTCAGGCATTACATAGGAGTGGCCAGAAGTGGATTGGATGGTGACGGTCTCGGTTGCTAAGCGTCCTTTGGAGTAGGTTCCGTCTCCGTAGTACAAATCGTAGTCACAAGAAGAGGTATTGCTGCTGCACTCTTCTTTGTAGGTGGAGGACTTGGAAGGGTCGAATATTGGATTGCGTTGTTTGTGGCAGTGAAGACAAGGCAAACATTGTGTCCATATCATATCGCTTCCTGTGTCTATGGTTGCCTCGATCTCGACAGGAGGAGTACCAATTTTGAGTTTCATAAGATACTCGTAGTTATCAAAGACGACGTCGGCGTAAGGAGACGATGATGATAGGAGTTGATCATAAGTATCATTATTATTAGAGCGTCGAGAAGAAGATGAATTAATGGTGCGACGGTGGATTAGGTCCATGGTGAAGCCGCTGGGTGGTGATGAGGCTGAGGCTGTGGCTGTGGCTGTGGTGGTAATAAAGAGAAAAGCTGTAATAATGATTTGAAGAGAGAGTACCATGCTCATCATGGTGATCGAATTATACTTTTTAGGTTTTGAGACACGATGCAACTTCTTGATCATCATGCACATATTTAATTTATACAGTTTGGACTTTATTCGTAATTGTTAATTCTCTTGATTTGTCATTTTCCCAATACTGTTATTTCCGTTTTTGATTTTCTGGTTTTCCATTTTGACGTTTAACTAATGGAAATTATATCACTTCATTATAGACAGCGAATTGTATATTTTACTTTAGAAATGTATATTTTACGTATTTGTTCATGAACCCTAACTGAAAACTATGTACGTTTTTTTTCAATAGAAATATGCCTTTTGTAATATCCCGACTAGAGAGTTGGCAAATTCTGTGAAAAGTAAAATTTGAACTTGAGAAGTTTACCAAAACTAAGGCTAAAAGTTAATGGAAGTGATAATTAATGGAAAATCAAAATTGATCAAACGAGTGGAGCTAAGATGATGGAGATGAGTTTATGAGTGAAGCTACGACAAACTTCCAAGATATCAAGAGGTGGAAGGTCAATCAAACCACTCCAAAATATCAAAATAATTTTTATAAAGTGACGTTTTCACTTCCAAGATAATCTGCAAAAATTATAACTGCAATTAAACTCATCTCCATCATCTTAGCTCCACTCCAAAAAATATAACTGCAATTTTTTTTTTAAATCAAATTTATAAAGTGAATATTATAAAGTAGTTAAACAAACGCTTTCGAAGCAGATTTGTGAGAGTATTTATATCAAAAACCAAATTTCACAATAGAATACAAAGATATAATTATATAATTTTATAAAAAATGATTGAGAGAGAGAGAGGGGGAGACGCAGTTTGTTCTCTCTCTCTTGAAATGTGGGTTGGTTCACGTAGGGCTGGGCACAAATACTTGTTACTCGATACCCGTTACTCGATCCGTACTTGTCCGTCAAATCAAGTTCTCACAGTAATGAAACCAAGTAACAAGTATCTCAAATAAAAAATTTGCAAGTACAAGCCAAATAACCAGTTTTTAAATAAACTTAATTACTTGACTCGTTTATACTTGTTACTCGTTCTAAATATTTTTTTTAGTAACATTGGGATAAATTTTTATAGATTCTTAATATTAATTTATTTAAATTTAAATTTAAATTAGAAGAGTCATGTTTTTTTAATCGGCATATTTGTCTCATTTGCAAAATAAAGTTCTTAACATTGTTAAATAGGATAATAAACCAATAGATCTTATTGTTTACAAATGAAAATCAAATGTCAAATAGCCTTATACCTTGCAATATTTTTATCATTACTTGTTTTTTATCTATTGCTCATTATTCTATAAAAATTCTCATTATTTATTTAACATATTTTGTCTTTTATTTATATTGTATCTGAAATCAGAAAAAAATTAACTTCCAAAATTTTTTTTGATAAAAAACACATAGCACAATTTCATGTAAGAAATTATGTTTATTTTCAATTTTGAAGTAATAATTTTTTTTAAAAACAAGTATTTGATTTTAGCAAGTAACAAATCAAATTAAGTAACTCGCAAGTATTAGTTTTTTTTCCCGAATACTTAATGTGATAAGTACTTGTTATAAACAAAACAAGTTCAAATCCTATATATGAATACTTGAACAAGCCAAGCCAAATATCAAACGATGTACTTGCCTTGCATCCATCCCTAGACTCACGTATTCCCCACAAAACATCTGTACCTGTCGAGACTGCGAAACAACGAGAGGGTATGTATGGGTGCAAGTTGACTATATATACTCAGAACTCGAGAGACTAGAGAATGTTTGGTCCTTTACCTTATGGTCTTATTATTCGAGGCAGATTGCATTAGAGGGTATGTATTTAGATCAAAAGAGTGTTTAATTAGTTGCATTTTTTATTTAATCAATATTTTATTTAATTATGGTATCAAATGATGTGTAGGCTTGGCCTTTTCATTATTTTGGACCGAACACAACTTGAGAAATATGGTTTGGCGCCATAGTTAGTGTAGTAATTTGGCTGTTAAGCCAACCAAGTGAGTCCGGTTAGCTATAATGGAGAGATTGAAAGAGAGAAATACCATATGAGATCACCTATAAAATAGTTGTTGGTGATTTGCTGTGTTTGATACCTTGTATGTACGTCTACTAGATACTACAAGTAAATGATTCATTTTGAGTAGATGGTGATGTACTAATTGACAAGATTTTAGCATCAATACACTATTAAAAGGGGCAAATAAAGCCCTCTCACCATGTCCACATCACCAAATATATTTGGCCAATAATAGGGCTTTAAACAGCCACGTCATGTTTGGTTTGGGCATGCGAAACCCGATTTTGATTTCGGTCCGAATATCACGATTTAATCTACCGAAACCCGGTTTATTTTCAGTTAATGTTAAGTTACA